GGTGAGGACCGAAGCTGGGTAAGCTGGGTGAGCTGGGTATGGCAGAAATACTCCCAGTGCTGGCATGACATGCTCACCGGGTCGCCTACCTAAGGACCGCGCCATGTTTGTGAAGAGGTCCGCTTCGGAGGGGTCATAGCTGTGCTTCTCCATGCTGTCCACATGGTTGCTGTCGGCTCCATTCCCCCCAAATTGCAGCTCCACACATGACGCCGCCTCCTGGTGTGCCCCGATGTCCTGGTCATCCCCGCGGATCTTCCGGCGGCTCCGGGGCAGGAGCTGCAGAAGGTCATTGACTCCAAGAGCATCCGCGCCGGACAGGGCAAGGCACGCAACCGCCGCTACGTGAAGCGCTTGGGCCCATTGGCACCTTGGACTGCACAGAATTGCGAGAGGAGGTGGAAGCACTCAGCCACGTGGGCGGCTTCTGTGTGGTGATGGGCCGAAAAGTCTGCTGAATGTATAGTGGTTGTTGGTGCGGTGTTCATGGTGGGTGTTAGTGCGGTATGCTCCAGTGCTGCTCCGTAGTAACAAAATCCGTGCTGCTCCATAGTAACAAAATCCTTGGAACAATGATCGGAAATGCTGCTGGGTGCGGCATCGTGAGACACCCAGTACAAGAGACCTGCAGATCCTGCATCGCCACACAGGCCGGCCCTCAACCTCGCCTTCTGATGCCTGCAGTGGATTCCCCTTGAGACTCTGTGTTTGTTGATTTTATTGCTTGCACGCTGCTGTAACAGCTCCAAAAAAAAGCCCAAAGCTTCTGTACAAATGATAGGTCGGGAGAACGCAAGAAGCACCCTCAGCCTCCCTCCATCATCTAACAATGCAAGTGGAAAACCCAGTTGGTGCCGATTAGTCTGCTTGAAGCTCAGAGGGGGTGGCCCTAAACACATCAGGTGATCTACAACGAGGACAACGGCATCACCCGCGCCATGCGCAACATCCCCGGCGTGGAGTGTGCCCATGTGGACCGCCTGAACCTCCTGCGCTTGGCACCGGGAGGCAGCTTTGGGCGCTTCGTGATCTTCACTGAGGGCGCGTTCAAGAAGCTGTCGGACATCTATGGAACCCTCAAGAAGCTCGACTCCATATGCCAGATGGATGGACTGTCTGGGTCCCAATAAGATCTAACAAATGATCAGTTTTTCCTTGGGTAGGACGCATGGAATATCTTGAAGCCATAGGGAATCGTGCCACGGTTAAGGTCCTTTCTGAGCTGTGTGCCCCTTGTTCAGATTTACAACTTGAAAAATGCAAACGCATGCGCAAAGCCATGCATGCATGTTTGCAAGGCAGGCACACCCATGTATGCCACAGGAACATGACATGCCGCAAGTCCCATTGGCCTCTGGCTAGGCCCAGATGGAGGTGGGATCCATGGTAGGAACTTCATCTTCCTGGTTGCATGTGGACTTGCACCTTCCATCAACACCCCACAAGTCATCTCAGCCAGAGATTCTCAGGAGCGGCGCCCCCAAGAAGAAGGGCTACACCTTGCCCCGGGCCGCCATGGTCAACGCAGACCTCTCGCGAATCATCAACAGCACTGAGGTGCAGCCACTTGGACAAAGCACCCAGGCAACCGCTTCAATTCATTCCACCAGGTGGCCTCCAACAGAGTCAGAGAAAGGGCCATGAAAGGGTGAAGGAACAGAGGGTGCAATACACCCGCACCACATGCGTTTTATAAAGACAGATCTTCATAGAAGGGAGAAGGAAGATGAAGAAGGAAGGTTTGGAGCATTCCTCGATTGCTAGGCTCAGCATTGTGTAGAATCTTCATGACCGAGCCCATGACAGCCGAGTGCTGTCATTTGACCTTTTTTTGGGAAGCAATATCAAGCAGATGAACGCCTGACCTCTCTGGGGCTCTGTGACGTTCCTTTTCGTCCTCCCTTTCGTCGCTTTCGACGTCGCAGAGCCCCAGAAACACCACCGACCAGCAACGAACGGGCGGCCGTGACCCAGTCGGACCGCTGGCGGCCGGAGCCGAGCCGACACAAAACGGGCGGCCGGTGCGGCCGGAGCCGAGCCGAGGTCGGTGCTGCGCCCGAAGATGGAGCGCTACACTCACGGCATCAAGCGCAACGCGCTGAAGAGTCACCCGGTGCAGGGCGGACGGGTCGGGGTCACATGATGTGCCCAGGTGTAGGTGCTGGGCGCACGTGGGGCACGGGAGAGGCAGTAGACATAGAGACATGGAGATGAGATAGAAATGATGGCCTAGAACCGATGTCCAGTACACAGGAAGATAGAGAGAGAGAGGGAAACAAGCTGTTGAATCTCCAGGTGAGTGATCATAGGTGATCGAGGCATCGCACCTTCGATTCAAGCAAGCCTCCATTGGTGAGGGATTTTGGAAGATAAGAACTACTGTTTTTTTTTCCATTGATTTTTGTTTGAACCTGGGGTGGTGGACGAACCATGACAAGAACCTTCCCAACCGTTCCGTTGGAAGTGCCGAGCTCGGTGACCTCATCCCCCGGGGTGGTCCGAGGCAAGGAGCTCATGGAGGAGCTGAACCCGGGCTCCACGGAGCGCAAGGCCGTGCAGCAGAAGGCCTCGCAGAAGGGCACTCCGGAAGCCTGGTGGCCAAAAGCAAAAATGGGTGAGGAACTTGGTAGGTTTACTAGCTGGACATGGATGTTGGTAGGTTTCTTCAACATGTCCAGTTTGCACGTGCCAAAAGCAGCTTGGGGAGGAGGACAGCTAAGTTGACTAGCTTTCGGCTCCCCGGCTCGGGAAAAAAAACCGGCTCGGGGGTCATATAGCCGCCCATTTCACCACAAGCCGTTTGGAACTGGATGGGAGTTGGGGTACGAGTCCCCTTGCTCGCTTGGGAACTGCCTTTGGGGTTGCAACTCTCTCGCCCATGCGGACAACACAGAGTTGTGACTGGGCACTGGGTGCGTGGTGACTTTGGGGGCCGCGGAGCACCGGGAAGGGAGCACTGGTAAAGGAAGGAGCAGCTAGGAATCGCATTGGGCAGCAGCTCAGATTCGTCGCTGGTGGGAGATTTGAAGGAACTAAGTTCATGATGGATATTTGGATATGCGCACCCTGACTCACTAACATGGAAGTGGACGCCACTCTGTTGGTAGAGGAGCATAGTCTTCCCGGCGGCCACTTCCCACTTCCATGTCAGTGAGTTAAAGAGTGGTATCAACAAACTGACAAGAAGTGTGGAAATCGCATCCATGACATCGAGCAGTCGTACAACGGCACTACTTTTCTTTGGATCTGTTTCCTCACTGCAGCCGCAGTGCTGCAGGGCCTGGCCCCTCTTTCGGCCAAGCTCCCGGAAACCGGTCGTGGCCTGAGGAGTTCGATGCGGTGCAGAAGAAGAAGAAGGCCCGCATCGAAGAGTCCAAGAAGTACAACAAGGAGACACCGACCCAACACATGACTGAGTACAGTCTTTGCGGACTGAGAGCTGGAATTTTGCCTAGGAGAGAGGTGGCCTGAGCACATGACCAATCACATGGGAACACGAAGCATTTGCTTTGCTTTTGTATTTTTCATTAAAGTTAAATAAAGGACCTTTTCAGACTGCAACCAGGAGGCGCCATAAAGAAAAGCCAGTAGTGGTGGGGATGCAATGGTGGTGGTGTGGTGAACATGTGCTTCAACCGCCGCCACACCGAGGGATCCATTTGCTTCAGGCTGCGAGGGGCCTAGTGGACACATACCTTTTGTTAATGAAGGGGCGACCACCGAGACCCTGGAAGACTAAGCCCGTAGGAAGGACACGAATGTAAGGCTGCAGAGACTCCGCCACAGCAACCTAGCCCCACCTGGCCATAAAAAGGAGCATAAGAAGGGCGATGAGACGTTCTACAAGACCTTGATGAAGGCTTTCGAGGCGAAGGCTGCCGCTGATGCGGCCAAGAAGGCTGCCGAGAAGGCTGACGACGAGGAGGATGAGACATGGCCTGAGCTTGGCACTTTCAGTGTTCGCCGTCGTTGTTGTCATGGCTGGGTCACAGAACATATGATGGACAATTCATGAAAATTCCTTCCTCATTCTGCAGTTTTCGCTTGGATGTATTTGGGGGAGCTCGTGCCATTTGGCACTTCCACCAGCAAATCGGCCCCCTCCTATGAGGGCGTGGAGGGTGATGTTCTTATATAATATATATATAGGTCAACCCGGTCAACCTGAAACTCCCACCTCGTCAGCTACAACTGGCTTTCGTTCTGATTGGAATGGTTTGAGTCAGAAGCGTTCAACCGCCTGGAGTTTCGCACGCGAGCCAGGTCCCGGCTCCAGTCGACCCGCGCGTCGACCGACGTAGGTCCAGTTGCGGTGACGGCTGTGAGAGGGGTGCTATACCTGATGAGTTCCAAAGGATCAACGCATGTTTGTTCCTACTTCTTTGCTGCTAAAATGGGGTCCCCTAGGATTTTTTGGTAGGGTATATATATATATATAATATAGGAGTCTAGCAGCGTTTTATGGTGTCTCTGCCATGCTTTGCTAGTTGCCCCAGGTGCTTTCATTTGATCTATTTCCCTTCTTCCAGGGGCCGTTGCTTAGGAGGTGAAGTGATGGTGTTTGCAGGGTAGAGGTGGTTTGGGGTTGGTTTGAGGTTTCTTCTGTGGCAACCTTTCTACAGAAAGAAGAAACATGCCAAGCAGTGACCAACCATTTAAACAAACACCAGCGAACCCTAAGACAGCTTTGGGCTCCCGCCTTTCGGTATGGTTTTGCTCAGGAGGAGTGAGATCCTTACCAAGAAGATGAATCGACCGGAGAGCGAGTGGCCGGATGAAAAAAGGAGCGGCGTGTGCCACACATCGAGGAGACCATGAATCACAGGCTTGAAGAGACCAAGATCCTTTTTGCGCAAGCCATTTCCCCTGCCAACAAAACAGGTTTCAATCCAGTTCTCTTCATGTCAATGTAGTTGTTAGTCGTTAGTGACCCTGTCACGCAGCCCAAGTCCAACACCAAGATGCCTGGTTTGGGTGCTGGCTTCGTATGGCTTCGTGTGTTTTGGCTCAGGGTTCGGAACGCGTCCGCCACACTACTCCTCACACATCGTCCACGTGGGACAGCCTCCCTTGGTAAGCGTCCATGGCGACCGCAAGGCCTGTGGTGTCCATCTACAACTTCGAGACACTTGGACCATGAGGAGACATGAGGGGTCAGTAGTGTTTTCTAATGATTTCGTGTTTTTTTTCCCGATTGATCTTTAGTGTTGCCACGACTTCGCCCCCAACAAGACCATGACTTCGACCCACACCAAAAAGAGCCCAGGGTGACGCATGTACTGTGCACGCTGTCAGCGCACAGGGATCCTCCGGTCCATCCGCTCTCAGGAACCCCTCGGAGAAGACCGGCACGATGCCCATGCCAGTGGTGCTGCAGTCGCCTCTGCGGCCGGACCTGGTGCGCGAGGTGCACCGAGACATGGCCAAGAACAAGAGGCGGACAAACCGTGTAGGAAGGGACAGGGGTAGAAAAAGCGGGGAGTGTAGGAGATGGAATTGACACGTGGACCAAGGCCAGGTCAGAGCAATCTGGATGGAAAAGATATAAACGTTTATAAACGTGGCCGTTTTGAATGCGCACCAAAGGGATTTTGATGCAAACTTGCAAGGTGCAGCTGCTATCAGCCATATTCATCCATATTCCGCAGATTCGCTGACTAGCCGCTGAATACTACAGTCAGTGTGCTTCTGGACTTTACCAGCCCACGGGCCCGCTCCTAGGTGGCCAGCCCACGACAGGGCCATTTGCCCTCCATCCTGCCAGGCAGGCCTATGCCGTGAAGCCCAAGGCCGGCTACGACACCGCGGCGGAATCCTGGTGCACCGGCCGCGCCGTGGCGCGTATTCCCCGCGCGCCGGGCGGCGGCACTCACCGCGCAGGGCAGGCAGCCTTCGGCAACCAGGCGGCTGCAGGGGAAGTGGGGCGAGGTGGATGGTGGAAGAGGGGTGCTGGTAGATGACAAGGTATCGCCGCTGTATACCTTTGTAAGGGACAACCCTCTGAGTTTACCTCCAGCACAGCCGGCAAAGAAATCCACCCAGTTAGACCGCCATTTTTAGGGATTGGCCCACACTCAACAACAAGAGGTGGAAATAGGTCAACCTTTTTTCCAGGGAAACTGAGGGGGTCAGAAAAAAGACACCTTCCTGAAGTAAACGCTTGTGCTCTCTTCGTGCTTTCTTAATAATCTTTTTGAGGGAAAAAGATGCCCAAATTGCAAAAACACACAGAGCTGAAAACGAGAATAGACATGACATGATGACATGACATGTCCATCTATATATGATATGCCTAGCCGGTGCCGCCCATCTGATGCCCACTACCAGGCGCGTGGCGGAGGCATGTTCAACCCCACCACCATCTGGCGCCGTTGGCACCGCCGCGTCGCTCGGCAGCCGAATGCTGGACACGTACGGGCAGAGACTGAGTGGTAGAAAGACATAATTATATATATATATAATATACCGGTGAGAAACTCACCAGCAACATGTGATGCAATGGTTGAAACTCATGTATGTGATGTATTGGGTGACTCACCAAATGAGAACCTGCTAGTGCAAAAATCGCATGGTTGGTGGGGAACTCGTGCCACTCGCTCTCCAGACGTCCAACAACTCCCAGGTGAACGTCACCAAGAAGCGTCACGCCGTGGCCTGCGCCTTGGCCGCCAGCGCCCTGCCGCCTCTGGTGATGGCCCGAGGCCACAAGATCAACCAGGCACCGCGCGGTCATCGCGATCTGCGAGGGGCTGAGATGCAAAGGAAGGAAAGCGGAGTGAAGGAGGTAGTGAGGGAGTAAGTCAGCGGAGAGTGGGGCACAGGTTGGTTCCAGATTTCCACATACGGTTGGGGCACAGGTTGGGGCACAGGTTGGTGCAACCAATACCTCATACGGTGTGTGGAGGACGAGTCTTTCCGTTTTGTTCGCACAAGTTCGCACCAAGACGGCCAAGGAGTGGTCTATAGGGCGGTCACCTGGTCTTTCCAGGGAAAGCTGGTCGCAGCTTCGGCACGAAGTAGACGTCTTGGTCAAACGGAAGTTCCACTCCTTTCGGAGTGCGGTGCCCTGGCACAGGTGGCCGAGCTTCCTCTCGTGGTGAGCGATGGCATCCAGTCCTTGACCAAGACCAAGCAGGCCAAGGAGGCCTTGAAGAAGCTGGGCTGCGGCGAGGACCGGGGGTGCTGGGCTGGATTGTCGTTTAGAAAGGCTGCCGGCTTGGGAGTGTATGCTGGTACCCTTGGACACTAAAGTTGGGACCAAGCTGTTAGAACACTTGCTTTTGCTGATGCTTGACCTGTTTTGATGGGGCGCTCGTCTGACAAACCACCAGGAGCTGCAGAAGGTCATTGACTCCAAGAGCATCCGCGCCGGACAGGGCAAGGCCCGCAACCGCCGCTACGTGAAGCGCTTGGGTCCTTTGGCACCTGGGATTGCACTTGCTGCTTTATGGAAGTTTGTTTGCTACACCTGGGCTTGTTTGATACATGTTGAGAAAATTGCCATTACTTGTGCGCTTTCATGGGACCTGCCAGAACTTGGTTCGGGTGAGGGGTTCTTCTTCTTCTTCTTCTTCTTCTTCAGCGGTCACTTCAGAGACCCAGAACCTTCCCTAACGAACATTCTACACATGTGGGTTGATTGTTTGGTCCATCGTTGGGATTTGTGCTGCTGGGCAGCGTGGAACCAGGCATGAACTTGATCTATACAGTCTATACATACATATCCATACCCAGGTGATCTACAACGAGGACAACGGCATCACCCGCGCCATGCGCAACATCCCCGGGGTGGAGTGCGCCCACGTGGACCGGCTGAACCTGCTGCGCTTGGCACCTGGAGGCAGCTTCGGGCGCTTCGTGATCTTCACTGAGGGCGCGTTCAAGAAGCTGTCGGACATCTACGGAACCCTCAAGAAGCTCGACTCCATATGCCAGATCGGTGGACCGTTTGGGTCCCACTAAGATCTAACATTTTCAGAAGCCGTCGAACATCCTATGGAACCTTGAAGAGATTTCGGATGCAGATGATTAGTTAGGACTTGCGCTGCTTGGGGGCATTTGAGAAAAGCGGGGTGTGTGTACTATCCACCAGCACAGCGAGATTCACAACAAAAGCGCGAGCGAGTCGACCTCACTGGCGTTGACCTCATGGACTCATGAGCTCAAGATAGCTCAAGACACCACTCCGAGCACGTCCCAGGAGCGGCGCCCCCAAGAAGAAGGGCTACACCTTGCCCCGAGCTGCCATGGCCAACGCGGACCTCGCACGTATCATCAACAGCACTGAGGTGCAGTCACTTGGAGCGAATTCATTCACCCTCGCTGGAAATCATCACGGAAATGGAAAGCCACTTGTTTGTGGAGGAAAATGATGATTCCGGGGAGTGTAGTTGGTCTTTTGCTTTGTTCCGACTTATTTGTCAGATTGATTGTTTCATAGCAAGTACCGACCCTGCCAATGGAATCGCGATTAGAGATGTGTTTTCACGCGCGTGGAAACACACCACTCCCATCCACCCCCCACATCGGTCGCCACGGCCGAGGTCCGTGCTGCGGCCGAAGATGGAGCGCTACACCCACGGCATCAAGCGCAACGCGCTGAAGAGCCACCTGGATCTGCGAGAACGGAATGTTCGGGGCGGGCCGCCGTGCTGAGCAACCAGTTGAAGGGGGGTGGGAGCTGTTGGGGGGGGCAGATCACCTAATTAGTGGAGGAGAGGCAAGCATCATGAACAAACCTGGTGATCTTTGCGTGGGATTGTGGTGCGGTTCACAGAAGAATCTCTGATGCAAAATGTGGCAGGGTTTACCAGCTTCACCTCCAGTCTCCTTCTTTTCAGCTAGTGCTGGCACTACCAGACTACTCGCACCACCTTCCACGTAGGGCGGGGGGGTCGCTTGTGTAGCGCGTTTTGGGTCGCTTGTGCGTCGCGTTTTGGGTCGCCTGTGCTTCGCGTCTTCTACTACTACTACTACTACTGCTACTACTACTACTACTACTACCACTACCACTACCACTACCACCACCACCACCACTACTGCTACTACTACTACTACTACTACCACTACTACAACATCATCTATATCTATATCTATATCTATGTATATATATCTGTGTGTCTATATATATATATATGTATCTATCTACATCGAAGAGGTCTGGTATGTGAATGATCCCTGATTCTCTGCAGGTTCTTCTTCCATGCTGTTGGATTCCACCACACTGTTACTGTCCTATGATACTCTTAGACAATGCGTACTGCCAATATTTTTGGCTCAAGGTACACATTGTGCGAAAGAAAAGCCGCTCTACTCGCCTTCGCTCGCACGCTGTTGTGTACTTGCTAGTCTGTCAGCCGATCCAGGTTGACACTGTTGTTTGACGCCCCACTGCGGAGGATTCCACCCTCGCCTCACCCCCCACCCCCACCCCACCCCACCCACATGTAAGATGTGATGATGTGGCCGCGTGGGCCAATCATTCCATTAGATCCCCCCCCACCCCACCCCACCCCACCCGGAGGTAAGATGTGATGATGTGGCCGCGTGGGCCAAGTTGAAATCATTGACAATTCCCACATCTCACCGTCATTTCCCATCGATGCGCAAGTGACCCACTGGGTCGATGCGTAAGTGACCCTCCGACCCTCCGATGCGCAAGTGACCCCCGATGCGCAAGTGACCCGTTTTGCGATGCGCAAGTGACCCTCCTGCCTTCCACGTATCAGGAGCCCTTGGCATGAACCGCAAATTCACCAGCCCTCTCGGGACCGCGCCACCAGACCTTTTCGGGACGCCACCAGCCCCGCTTTGGTCCCTGCGTTCGGTTGAGCTCGACCGAGGCAAGGAGCTCATGGAGGAGCTGAACCCGGGCTCCACGGAGCGCAGGGCCGTGCACCTGAAGTCCTCCCAGAAGGGCACCCCGGAGCCCTGGTCGTGGAAGAAAAGACACTGGGCAGGTGGGGCACCAATGGGAGTATTCGGAATACTATGACAGGGCTCTGGCATAGTGTGGCTGGCCTTGGGAGGTGCTGGAGCAGCACCCTGGTGCTGCTCAAATGGTGTGCTGGTGGGGTTGGAAATGGTTGGAGTGGGGGATTGTGGCTTGCAAATTGCAGAGTGGTGGGGTTGCGGAAGGAAAGATTCCGTGTGAGTTAGCATTAGCATCATCCATTTTGCCACTGTAGTTGTAGAACAATTGCCAGAGGCAGATGAGCTTTGGGATTGCTTCAGATTATGTTCTGCACCTGCTGTTTGTTGGTGGCATCTATTGAATATATTGACTATCTCCTGGTATACGCCGTATACGCCGGTCCCTCAATGATCACGTCAAGCCTCACAGCTGTGCAAGAGAGGCGCCATCCGATGGCCTGTGTCCATCGGCAATTCCTGTTGCCTGAGGAGTACGATGAGGTGCAGAAGAAGAAGAAGGCCCGCATCGAGGAATCCAAGAAGTACAACAAGGAGATGCAAGGCTAGAGGTCGCAGAAGACCAAGAACTTAATTTTTGAAGGGTCCCAGCCACCCATTTCGGGTGGTCATTGGATGGAACATCCATAGTCAAGCGGGGGTTCATAAACCACCCGAACTATCCCGAACTGGGGTCCTTTGCGTGCTGGTCAACGGTTTTGTCGTGCTCGATTTAGGATTTGCGGAGAGTGGAAGGGGGAGAACAGCAAACACAATGCCATTAGTGGAGAATTCGCTTGTCCCCAAAGTAATATAGTTAACGCGGAGGTAATGTGTGTGTTTATTTGATATCTTATATCGTATCTTACCAACAGGTGGCTGTGAGCTGCTTTCTGGATCTACTAGGAGCTTCGCAGGCTTCTGGAAAGCATGAAGTCGATTAAATTCATTACAGTGCCTTCGCTCGCTCGGGGTTGATGCGGTGGGTGATCAGCTGCCAGCTAGGAGCACAAGAAGGGCGATGAGACGTTCTACAAGACCTTGATGAAGGCCTTTGAGGCCAAGGCCGCTGCAGATGCCGCCAAGAAGGCTGCCGAGAAGGCTGAGGACGAGGAGGATGAAGCATGGCTACAATAAGGTCTTTTTGTGATGCCCTGTGATCCTGTGAGATCTCCGGAGAGATATGGGTTTGTTGGGCTCAAAGAGTTTGAACGTAGACTTCTCTTTGTTTTGGAGCTATGCTAACTGTTAGCACATCTGCGTAGATTTTTTTAACCAAACAGTGTCCTCGGGGTGTGGGCACACCACAGCTGAGCAGCTGAGGAGGAGTGAGATCCTTTTGAGTGACGATCGAATGAGAGTCTGTGTGGCCGGAGCAAAGGGAGCGAACGAGCGGAATGGGAGCATCCTCAAGTGAGTGAATGTGAGGTGAGACTTCTTCTTGGATTGCTCAAGACATCAAGAAACCATTCAAGACCTAGCTTTTGGGCGGAGAAACCTTCAAGACTTGTGACAACCTTCCAAAAGCCCAGACATACTGACATACTGGTGCGAAAACTACATCCACTTGTGGGCAGCACGGAACGTCCTCTGTTTCTTGCGCTTCGGCGCGTTCGGCATCTTGGGCTCGAGGATCCGACCGAATCCGCCACACAACTCCTCACACGTTCCGCGTGGGACCCGCGCCCGCGTGTCAGCGCCGCGTCCAATGGCGACCGCACGGCCTGTGGTGTCCATCTACAACTTCGAGATGCCTGGCAAAGACCAGGGTTGGCGAAGAGCAAGGGGAAGGTGTGGGAGCAGGTATGGATGGTCGTTGGAGGTCGTTTTGCATGGGGTACATGATGAAGAACTGGCTACAACAAACATTAAATAGGCAGATGTATACAGTAGAGCTGCAGCAGCTTGCTCAGCAGCGACCCTTCGCTCCCAATCCGAACCCAAGGAACCCCTCGGAGAAGACCGGCACGATGCCCATGCCGGTGGTGCTGCAGTCGCCACTGCGGCCTGACCTGGTGCGCGAGGTGCACCGAGACATGGCCAAGAACAAGAGGCGGACCAACGGGTGGAGTGGGAAGGGCAAGAAGCATGACCCCCTGCCAGGCGGTGAATAGACATCCCTTATATTATATATGTTATTTACTATATCTATAACCCTCAAAGGGGCTATTATTGCACACCCCTTAGGGGGCCCTGGTAGTTAAATGATCCACATAGAATGGTAGATGGATTAGATGGCCAGGTGGATGGACACGTCATTCACCCCTCCTTTTGGCCATGCCAAAAAGCATTTAGGATAGGAATCATGTGAGGGATATCGAAGGCTGAACAGGCTTGCAACCATCCCCTCATTTGCTTGGCCTTACCTCAGCGCTAGAATGCTAGAACGTAGAACTGGCCCATTCGCTAGGCACTGTTTTGGACTGCCGCTTCTGTGAAGCTTCAATCGCTCACTTAGTGCCCGCCAGCAGGGATCCGCCTCCATCTCCATCCTGCCAGGCAGGCCTATGCCGTGAAGCCCAAGGCCGGCTACGACACCGCGGCGGAATCCTGGTGCACCGGCCGCGCCGTGGCGCGTATTCCCCGCGCGCCGGGCGGCGGCACTCACCGCGCAGGGCAGGCTGCCTTCGGCAACCAGGCGGCTGCAGGGGAAGTGGGGCGATGGTGGGCAGATGACCAGCAAGCAGAGAATGTTGGAAGCTTACCTCAGAAATCTTGACACATGTTAGCAGCAAAGGGCATCACAGCTCCCTCATTTTAGCTTTCTGGGAGTCGGGATCGAGTTTGATTTTTGGGATTCGATGTGAAGGGAAGTGAAGGCTTTGTTGTTCCTGTTGCCTACCCTTTGCAACCGATGCTCGCTGAATGGCTTCAAGTTTCAAATTTCCAATCTTTACTCGTTGCGGCGTGTGCTCCCTGATGGTTCCGATTGGCCTTAATCCTTTGCCGAAAGACACGCTTGAAGTGGAGCATTGAAGCCTTCGAGCATTTTCTCTTACCTGGGAGAAAGAACCCGGCAGATAATGTGCCAAGCCGTTCTTTCTGCAAGTGCTCCCCAGCATTCCAAAACCAACGCTTTCACCTGGAAAAAGCACCGAATGCCAGCGCCATGAAGCGCTGCACATCGCAGTTTCAAAAGGCCGCACATCAAAGCAGCTTTGTAACACGAGAACACATCGAGACACCAACCACAACAAAGGCCGAAACATGAACCAGGACTCACAAAGGGGTGGTTTTTAGTCCCATCCAGTGTGTGGATACTGGGCACCCCGGCACCCCTCCAATAGGTAGGCAATCTGTGGTGTGACTCATAAGAACAAGCCGTTTCACAGAACGTCTGGATGATTCTGGATGTGCAGTTGTGCCCACTACCAGGCGCGCGGCGGAGGGATGTTCAACCCGACGACCATTTGGCGCCGTTGGCATCGAAGGGCCGCTTGGTTTGTTCGCAGGGGGTTCGGTCGCCTCCACAGAAGCAGGGGGTCGGTCGCCTCAACGCGTTTGTCTTGTTTGGAGGGTGCGGGTTCTTAGGCCAGGGCTCAAGCTTCGCCCAGGTTTCCATTCGCTATATAAGTGGTTCTTAAGGTGGACAAAATCCAGCTGAGTTGAGGCAAGCCGCAGCATTTGCCTGGTTTTTTAGAGGCCCATACTGTAGGGGAGGCGGAAGGTCTTTCACCAACGATGGAGCCAATGCATAGCAGCAGCTCGGTCTGTGTACTTGTCAGCAGCTATCAAGACGAAAGAAGATGTATGCATCAAATGAACCTGTTGGCTCAAATGATTCCAAAGCGGCCCCGCTCATTGACCCATGTCGATGGGCACATCTAGGATGGTTCAAGAGACTGCGCTCCCCATTTCTGTCGGCATAATCGAGCTACTGCCGCGAAATCTTCACACGATTCGCCTTCCTTCTGCTGTCCATCGGAGTGTTTTTGAAAGCGCTGTAGAGGCGGCTGTGAAGTACAACACCCATGAGGGCAAGCCTACGGGTTGCATACTGGTGCTGGGTGATCCAGAAGAACTGCAACCTCGGGTGAAGCGGATCTCTCTCAAGGGTTCTGATTTGTTGGGGGAAACCATTCAGAACCCAGGAACGGAAAGCCGATTGAGAGCAAGTTTTTCTGCGCGTGGTATGATGGTGATTGACGGTCGCACTGGAGAGATACTTGCGGCAAATTCGCAGGTTGAATGGAAGTCCTCCCCATTTGTTCTGGAAGGGCATGGTGCACGGCACTACGTGGCGCTTCAAATAGCTGCAGAGTTGAACTGCATCACCATCACTCGCTCGAAAAAGGGATACGTAACCGTATTCTCGTCACAACATCTTGGGCATTGCTTTCGCTTGCGCGATGAGAGGAGCACCCTTTTTTCTGGCAATCCTAGTGGTATGCCTTTTGATCATCGGTCTGAACAGCATCCTTAAAGGATTTCGTTTGGACGGTGTGACGAGCTTCTTGTCAATCCTAGTCCTAGTGGATGCCGTGGTTTGGATGCTGAAATGAGTATCCTAGTCTTAGCATGTCTTAGCAGAATGGCCTTTGTAGAGATTGACTGGCTGAATCGAAGGTGAGGCCAACTTGACCCCGACATGGCAATCCAACGAAAAGATTCGACACGACTCTTGAACTGGCTGAGCCCTCTGATTTGTGAATGCTTCTTTCCAGTCAGTGGTTTTGGATCCAAGGTGGGCATGTTTGTGGTGAAGGAACTCCTTTTTCATTGTTGTTTGAGTCCGGGAAAGGCTGCAGCATTTGTATTGTTTTTGGGGCTCTGCAGAAGATTAAGAATTTGAAGCACCTCTCCCATCAACAATAGGATAGGAGGGAGGGGTGCGTACCAACTCGGTCTGGTTTATGAGACTGTACGTGCTTGTCCCGCTAGTCAGCAGCTATGAAGACGAAACTAGATGTATGCATCAAATGAACCTGTTGGCTCAAATGATTCCAAAGCGGCCCTGCTCATTGACCCATGTCGATGGGCACATCCAGGATGGTTCAAGAAACTGCGCGCCACATTTCTGTCGGCATAATCGAGCTACAGCCGCGAAATCTTCACAAGATTCGCCTTCCTTCTGCTGTCCATCGGAGTGTTTTTGAAAGCTCTGTAGAGGCGGCTGTGAAGTACAACACCCACGAGGGCAAGCCTACGGGTTGCATACTGGTGCTGGGTGATCCAGAAGAACTGCAACCTCGGGTGAAGAAGATCTCTCTCAAGGGTTCTGATTTGTTGGGGGAAAGCATTCAGAACCCAGGAACGGAAAGCCGATTGAGAGAAAGCTTTTCGGCAGATGGTATGATGGTGATTGACGGTCGCACTGGAGAGATACTTGCGGCAAATTCGCAGGTTGAATGGAAGTCCTCCCCATTTGTTCTGGAAGGGCATGGTACACGGCATGACGTGGCGCTTCAAATAGCTGCAGAGTTGAACTGCATCACCATCACTCGCTCGAAAAAGGGATACGTAACCGTATTCTCGTCACAACACCTTGGGCATTGCTTTCGCTTGCGCGATGAGAGGAGCACACATTTACGCAACATCCTCGTCCTGCTTTGCCTTGTCATCATCGGTCTGAAGCTCGTCCTCAAAAACCATGTTTTGGATGGTGTGAAGAGCTTCCTGTCAACCCTGGCCCTAATAGACGCAGCCGTTTTGAATATTCATCAGGGCTTCGTGTTCATTGCTTTCCAGTACGTGTGTGCTGGCGACCGTCGTCGAAGAAAACACTTTTTTGCACTCCTAGTGGCAAGCCTGCTGAGCATTTGTTTGAACAGTGGTTTGGACGGGGAGACGAGTTTGGCAATCCTGGTCCTAGTGGACGCTATCCTGGGCTTCGTTGGTAGGCTGTTCTAGTCTGACTGCATGACTGGCGGCTGTCATCCAAGAGATTTGACAGACATGCCAATGGAGGCCATTCCGACATGGATGGGCTGAATTAAGGCCGCCGATTCAACCCGGCACCCGATTTCGCATGCACGCAAACGCGGAGTTTCGCTCGAGGCTGACACTCTTTCGGGTCTTGGGGAACCAGCTCCAGACGAGGTATATATATATATATAAATCCATAGATAGGTCCAAAACAGCTTCCACCGGATGAGCTCTTTTAAAGCAGCTTGGGTTTCTCTTGCGTTGGCCGGTGGACTGTTGCACCAGAATCATTGCGACCATGGAGGCCACCTGGGTAACCACATTCGGCTTAAGCAAAGGGCACCAAAAAGGATCAAACCATTTTAAGACTAATTGTTTTGTTGGATGTGATAAGATTGATAAGATACTTTACATATCTTTACATGCGACTTCGCATGTTTGAGGCAAGGCAACTCGTTTTGGTGCTGCTGAACTCGAGTTAAGCATCTTCGTGGAACTGTCGGTTCACCAATGGACCAGCCGAACGCCCAAAGCATGCTGGAACCATCTGGGACCTGTGCCCAAATATGCCCAGACGGTGACGTAGTAACGTACTCCGCTCCACAGGCTGAAAGCTTCAGCTCAGGTGAACGTCACCAAGAAGCGCCACGCCGTGGCCTGCGCCTTGGCCGCCAGCGCCCTGCCGCCTCTGGTGATGGCTCGAGGCCACAAGATCAACCAGGCGTGCCAGAAATCTGAGCCATAAAGAGGAGTTTTCATGGTGGAACGTGAGTGTTCATTCATAAATGTATATAATTGTTCTCAATCTCCTCTGTGTATAGTCCCCAAGGTGTCCCGCCGTTTGAAGCAGGAAGAACGCATCTTCCCTTTGCCTGTTTTTGGGCTGAAACAACCAGCAGCTTCGTGCGTGTTGCGAGCTTCAGCTCAGCCGCAGGTGGCTGAACTTCCCCTGGTGGTGAGTGATGGCATCCAGTCCTTGACCAAGACCAAGCAGGCCAAGGAGGCCTTGAAGAAGCTGGGCTGCGGCGAGGACTGGGAAATTGGGATTGGCGGGAACAGCTGCAGTCGAGGGCACTCGCATGATACCAGTGGCAAGAACTTTTCCTCCTACGGGCAGATGCCCGTAAAGTTCTCGCTGCAGCGAAAAACGCTCAGCGATCGCCGGGTTTCTCAGCGAACACGGTGGGTCTTTGTCGACCTTGACGCACGTGTTCGAAGCAGCAGAGGGCCCTATTGCATTTTTTTGGAGGTTTTTTTGGCATTTCCTGCGGCTCCGGGGCAGGAGCTGCAGAAGGTCATTGACTCCAAGAGCATCCGCGCCGGACAGGGCAAGGCACGCAACCGCCGCTACGTGAAGCGTTTGGGCCCATTGGCACCTCGGACTGGCACTGGCTTTATGGACATGTCTTGGAGCACGGAATTCGTGATTCTCGGACATCACTGACATCACCAATTTAGAGGATACCACGGATTTCATGGCTTGGGGTTATGGGTGTTGGGGTAGTTGAATTTTTGCCTTGCAGCCCTCCCTCAAATGATGTTTGCATCTGGTCTTGGCACATCTACTGCTAGTTGTCGCGCAGGTGCCCCCTTCGTGTGCCGAAATGGTGATTAGAAAAATGCAGACGTCAGCTTAGACTTGTGAATCTCCAAGAACGATAGTTGCACCGGCAATGGCTTTCCTGATCCATGTTGGGGGGGTGCTTCCCATTCTTTGGGCATCTATGGGCCACGTCCGTCCCGCAGGTCTTTGTTGTCTTGCACCATTCCCCTGGGTCGAAGCTGCAGATGATGACATGGACATGAGGTGATCTACAATGAGGACAACGGCATCACCCGCGCCATGCGCAACATCCCCGGCGTGGAGTGCGCCCACGTGGACCGCCTGAACCTGCTGCGTTTGGCACCGGGAGGCAGCTTCGGGCGCTTCGTGATCTTCACTGAGGGCGCGTTCAAGAAGCTCTCGGACATCTATGGAACCTTGAAGAGCCTTGACTCACTCGGGTGGATCAAAAGGTTCGGCAACCACCCATAACCACCCCTAGTATAATAAAAATACCAGTGGTTTTCAAGGTACAATGTCAACTGGAGTTTGCAAGCTAACTGCACTTATATAATTGCAACTGTAACGCCTTTTGTCACTGAAGCCACGCCCAGTCCATCCCGTGTGCCAGTTGAAGGGAATGGCGAGGTTGCTTGGTTGCTTGGCTAGGCTCTCTTTTGGCCCAGATGGAGGTGGGATGCATGAAAAAGTTAAGAGATACTTCATGTTCCAAAGCCACCTGGTTGATTGACCCAGGCATGTGGACTTGTACCTTGTTGATCCTTGTTGGTGTTGCCCATAAGCACGACCCAACAAGCCAGAGTCTTCCCAGGAGCGGCGCCCCCAAGAAGAAGGGCTACACCTTGCCCCGAGCTGCCATGGCCAACGCGGACCTCGCGCGTATCATCAACAGCACTGAGGTGCAGTTACTTGGACTACCTTCAGAACTTCAATTCCATGAGGTGCATCTACCTCATTCCCATCACCTAAGCAGTCCATAGGACTGCCATATTTGCTTACATCGTGGGGGTTCAGGGGTTAATGTGTATGCATAGGGCATGGGGTTATTGGTCGGTAGAAGTTGGCCGTTATTTAGGTCGGAGGTTGGGCTGTGGTCCAGAGATTTTGCCCGCAGGGTGGTCCACCAATGGCTGGGTGCGCCTGGTCTGGGATTTCATGCCCCGGCATGCCAAGTTGAGAACCTTCAATATCCTTAACCTTTTTTTACAGTGAACAGGTGGAAAATGGTCAACTTTTCTAGGGAAACTGAGGGGCCAGCCTAAGTTCTTGCCTGGAGTTGGGACATCTCCCTGGTCTGGTCTGGTATGCCTTGGCCGCTTCCAAGGTCCGTGCTGCGGCCCAAGATGGAGCGATACACTCACGGCATCAAGCGCAACGCCTTGAAGAGTCACCTGGATTTGCGTTGTTTTTTAAGCGTTGGGAGTTCGAGCGATGTTCTTGTGGTGGCCTCAGCCACAACACTGATTTGACCATCAGCGGAACCTGCTAGGAGGCAACTGGATACCTGTTGGAACCCTAAGACTCCACCCCACCTAGAAGGACGAAAGATGGACCGTGTGCAGTCCCTTTTGGTTGTGCGTGGGCCAAGCCATGTTCTCCACTCATTACAGCGCGGAGCCTTTCCGCCACTTCTGATACCCTCACAGCAGGGATCGGCTGGAATGCCTTATGCAACTATGGCCGCTGGCCACCAACAGGCAAAGCCCCAAGAAACCAATGGACAACACGGAGCAGAACTCGTTTGGTTTCTTGGGGTTTGCCTCATGAGACCTTTGGGGTTTGCCTGTTTGGTCTTGACCAACCGATCGAGAACGCCTGTCTTGTCTTCGATCGCCGTTCGCTTTCCTCCCTGGTGTTCGAGGCAAGGAGCTCATGGAGGAGCTGAACCCGGGCTCCACGGAGCGCAGGGCCGTGCAGCTGAAGTCCTCCCAGAAGGGCACTCCGGAGCCCTGGTCGCGGAAAAGAAACTGGACATGTGGGGGTTCGGTTGGGAGTATACATTCGGAATACTATGGGAATTCGCAGTGCGTTTTATACTTTATTTCCGAAGGTTTTTGGGTTCCCTTGAATTCAATGGGAACAGATGTCGCTTAGTTGTTCATGGCGAGGGCATGCGTTATCATGCATGATCATACATTCTAGACCACTGGTCCATTGGTCAGTTCTTTACTATGGCACCAGTAATTGGTTTGGTTGCACTTTTTTTTGCTTTCTTGATTGCTCTTTGTTTTGCTAGTGATTTTTTCGGTTTGCACGCTTTTTGTTTTTCGTTTTTATTTTAACATATATATATATTTTTTAAAAGAGATTTGTTTTTTCTAGAATAAAGCCACCTCTGGTGGACATAATCGTAGTCCATCCTTTTTTTGACAAGCCTTTGCACGACATTCAAAAAAGGATTAGTTTGTATGAAAACCAAATTTTTGTGCAATTTGACTGTGATGAGAACTGATGCATTGTGTCCCATCTACAACGAACACCTATCAGAGACCTGCTTGCAACCCACTTTTGCTTCTTGCTTCACACGGAACGCTTCCACAACGCATGCGTCACGCACGCGCTGCAGCCTGTGGCCTGAGGAGTACGATGAGGTGCAGAAAAAGAAGAAGGCCCGCATCGAAGAGTCCAAGAAGTACAACAAGGAGACGAGCCGAAGCACGAGATAGCACGAGCAAGAGAGAAACTAAAAGCAAGCCAACAAGACTCAGATTTCCAGTTTGGGGTGTCTTCTTACTTCCACCCTACACTTGCGGTCGGCATTGTTGATATTGTTGGAACAGGGTGGGCCGTTGGTTTCTCGAGAAACTGAGGGTGATCAGACGTGATCAGCTTCCAGCTAGGAGCACAAGAAGGGCGATGAGACTTTCTACAAGACCTTGATGAAGGCTTTTGAGGCGAAGGCTGCCGCTGATGCGGCCAAGAAGGCTGCCGAGAAGGCTGACGACGAGGAGGATGACGCATGGCCAGGTGGAGAAACACATTTTTTAGTGTACTTCCGGTTTGTGTTGGTATGGAATGGTGGTGGGGATCGATTTCTTGGAACCCAACTGCCGCACGCACGGAACTGAACACTGTCAATTTTGCATGCCCTCTCTCTCTCTCTCCATATACGTCAGGTTCTGTCAAGTCTTGCTTTATGAGTCGCGGACTCGCCGGTGACGGAGTCTCACCCGGACTCTTGCGATCTGAGGAGGAGTGAGATCCTGCTGAGTGATGAAATCAGAGTCTGTGTGGCCGGATTCCGAACCAAAAAGCCCTTGGAGCTCTCCATCCGCGAGCCATCCATCCAGTTGCGCCGGGTTGAGGGAGTGATGGGTTCATGAAAGCCTTAGCCAGCCATTGGCACGTGGTCTCAAGAAAGAGTTGGGGTTGACTGGAGGGTTTGGGAGGCTCATGCTGAGATGCAAGGCAACTAGCCCAATTCCAAAATCAACTTCCATAAAATACACGTTGAAAGATTTTCCATGTCCATGATTCATGTGATTCATGGGCGTGCCTTCCCCGAGATGGTCCTGGTCATATGAAAACGAGGTCCTGTTTGGCACCCCTTGTCCAGTAAGACCACTGGCCAGCAGACTTGAAGGGCGACTCCCCCCAAGGCAGAAGGGCAGAAGGCCTCCAACAAGGTCAGCAAGACTAGACCTCGGGACAGCCCGACAGCCCACGGGAAGCCACCTCACTCAGTGGCGATTCCACGTTCAGCTCGCCGTCCCCTGCGCCGAGGTGCCCTCGCCAAGCAGAAGTTGGCCGCACGCCCAGTGGTGCGGTGAGAGAAACGGGTTGGACATCCTGCAGTGAGGTGCCCCGAAGACAAGAAGAATCCCCTTCGCCAACAATCGGTGATCCAGCAATTGGAGACACGAGCGAACGAATGGGGTGTTGATGGCGTTGACATGGATTTCCCCCCCTAAGAGTCTTCTGTTCCCATCGGCGTGTACTTGCAGCACGCAAAGAAGTCAGGTTCTATTTTTAGGCTTTCAGGAGCCCGCACGCCAAGAGCAAGGCGCCCACAGGTTTGCCGAGCGATATCATTAGGCACCAAAGGAGGAAGAACGCCATTTTCCACTTCCTTGATGATTCCAGGGAGAGCAATATTCTTGCAAGGGGTGCCAGATGGTGTAATGTCCATCAGCGGGCTACTTCACTCCCACCCCTTCAGTGGATTCCAGTCGCCAGTCGCTCTCCTGGTTTCTGTTCCGGGACTGCTAAGGCTACCGCAGGCGTTACCGGTGCGAGTGACGGAAGTGGTATATCTGGCAATGAAATGGTGCAGACACCAAGAATAGAGGAGGAGGATGGGCAGGATCTGAAGCTTTGAATTTGGGTGAGCTTGCTATACAGACAATTGTCAGCAATCACAGCAATCAGATGCAATCAGGCTAGTTACTAAGTTCTGTTGGCTTATATGGCAGTGGAGCCTCCGCAGTGTAGCTCGATGGAGTTTGCATTGGCCAAAGACCCCGAAACATTAGGCAAATATAGGCAAATCCATTCCAACCCCTTTCACCTACTTTCAACATGCAAACATGCACAGGACTGATGGTGCCCCCCCCACACCCTATTTGTCACCACTGCGACCCTCCTTTGCCAGACCCTTCCTGCTCGGCAGCGCCTGAGTGTGCCAAGCTGAAGTTGCAAGGGAGTCTTGGAGCTATCAGTTTTCTGGGACACATGACGCAGAACAGGAGAGAGCCAGAGTTTCTAGGTTTTGTGTGGGCATGGGATCGCTGAAAAGTGCTTCTTTCGCATCCGTTTCGGGACTGGAGATCAGCAGGCTGCACACATCAGCAGACTTGCCACCAGTCGGTAAAGGATTCTCACTATCTATGAGATGTCGGCCTGCAACCAGGCCCCATCATCATTCTCTGCGCCTTGGTAATGGATGGTAATGGAATATACCATTGGAGGGGCACGACTCTCCGACACATTCTCAAAACCTGTGAGCCGCACCAATCCCAAGACGACCTTCTCAAGCAGAAAGCCAGGGTCTCCACTGAAACCATCTCCAAGAGACTACGCCAGGGCTCGTTCTAGACATGAGTCATGGATTACGACCTCGAAACAAGACACGACAAAACAACGGGCGATTGATCCAATGGAGATGTCCCAACTTCTTCACCTTTTAAACCATGAACGTCTTGTTCCGTCCAACGAACACCGAACGGACCCCCCACCGACGCGTTGAACGGAGCGAACGAGGAACTGCTGCCCCAACGACGCCGGGGTCAGCTTGGGCTGCTGCCCGGGCGGCGGCAGTGTGGTGCCTGCGCCGGAGGTGGCGAGCGTGGCCAAGGACTCCAAGAGGCCGGGGCGAGGCGGGTCGAGGTGTGTCTAGTCGATTGACATATGCAGGATGTGTTGATATATATCTATATATAGTTTGTTTGTTTTGGTTTTTCTTGCTATATACTATAGAGGGCTCGGCTAACACCATCAGCGGTGTGATCCTAGGGCCCCAGGGGCGTTTCGGTGTTTTTCGGAGCGCCTCGCCGCTTTTTTCGCGCCATAGCTTGACTGGATTGGTGGTAGGGGTGTCTGGCAGAAGCTGACGGTGCGTACAAGAGAGAAGAGTCCAAGCTGGCATAGGAAACTCCGCGCAAAGCGTGCAAAAGCACGGAGGTTCTTGAAAAGCTTGAGAGGTGCAACCTACCTGCCCAAGGGTCAACAACGTCGAGCACTTCGAGCTGGACGACTTTTGCTTGCGCACCATAGTCATCCCATGGGAGGATGGGCTCAGGGGAAAGGCAAGCAGAGCAGTTGGCCGGGTTGGGGCACCTGGCCCCACCCGAAGAAGCAAAAAGAAAAGAAAGAAGGAAAAGGAAAGGGAGCAGGAGCGGAATCCAAGGAGCCGGAGTTTCCCACCTACGAGTCGTTGCGATCTACTACGTCTTCCTCTTCGGCATCTTCTGCTGGGAAGACGGACCAGTGGAAACAAGGCATTTTGGACTTCCTGCAATCCAAGTCGTTGCGATCTACTACGTCTTCCTCTTCGGCATCTTCTGCTGGGAAGACGGACCAGTGGAAACAAGGCATTTTGGACTTCCTGCAATCCAAGGATATAGAGCCAGAAGGACAGTTGAAGGAACTCCTGGAGGGTGGTCCTTTGGACGACATCAAATCCGAGCAGAGAACGCTCAATACAAGGAAGAAGCTTCTGGCCAAACTAGACAAGCTCAAAGCCAAGGTGACGGAGAAGAAGGAAGCTTGGCAAGCTTTCCTTCAGAAGTCCCAAGAGCATCACCTCAAGCAAGAAGAGACTTACAAGGCAGATGTCAAAGCGCTGGAACAGGCGATCATGGAGACTCAGGCCGATTTGAACAAGATCACTGCCAGGGAGCAAGATTCCATGGACGTTTCATCGAAAGAAGACAAGATGGATACAACCGAGTTGAAGCGTCAGTTAGCCGATTCGCATGCGCGAATTCAATATCTGCAACAGAAGATGGAATCCTATGCTATGGGGGTAGTTCCCCAGCCCAGGGAATTTCCGTTCAACGACAAGTCACCTCAAGTCAACAAGTTTCCCCAAACCATTTTGCCGGTTGGGGAAGGAGGTGTCGACAGAGCAGAAGAGGCAAGGTTAGCCAGATTCAAAGCTCTAGAGGATGCCAAGAAGAGGTTGGAGGCGAAAGAAATTCCTTCAAGAACACCATCCCGAGAGAGGAGCCCACGAAGAGATGCTTCGAATTCCTTGGAAAGGATGGGTTGAAATCAGATCGATCTGCTCGATCTCCTCACTATGAGTCCAGGAGTGACGTGAAGGAGACTAACAAAAGTGAGCAGTACCAGAATCGCATTGTTGGGGAAGGCGCTGAATTTCAAAGAGCGACACCTGACTCTTTTGCTAGTGGCGAAGTTCGAGGAGACACTGAGTGTTGGCACAGTATAGGTCCTTGCCATTTGGTTGCAGGGGATCAGCCGATGCTTATGAATGCTGATACTTCGTCTGAATCGGCAGGGCATCTAAACCGAAGACTGTCTGATATCCAGTCCAGTTGGGTTGAGACTGACTTTTCCGCCTACATCAGATGTTACGGTATTCGATGCCTTTCGTCCCAAATTGGGATTGACTTAGTCAATCTCATCGTCTTGGTTGCTTGTCTTGGGCTGACTGCGCAAAAATGGGCAACCCTGTTGTGGTGGAGATCCATTAAGGGATCTCTCCGTAAAAGTAGATTGCTAAGTTGGAGTCTGCAACTTACGGTTCTTTGGGGCTGTAGTGTGCTGACCGCCTTTCGTCTAATTCACTTCGAGGGTGTGCATATCCAGCTTGAAGTGGTTAAGAACATTTTGTGGTATCCTATCGGACTTCTGGCAGGTGTGATGGCAACCAGACTAACCCTCCGTTTGAGGATTGACCGATTCGGCAAATGTAGAACAGTGCATTTTGCTCGCAAACCGTCTGCCAGGATTAGGAGCCACCGGATTAGTTGGAAGCATTTGCTCATTCTCTGCAGTTTTGTTACGTCTCACGTAACCGCCACAGCGCAGACACTTGGATACGATCTTAATCTGAATGATGATGATCAGGTTCGTGGCGATTTAGGTGAGGAGCAGTCTGCGCCTTTTGAAGAGCAGAGTTTGTCGGCATTTGACTTAGACTGTCTTGCAATACAGCATGATAGAGAGGCAGATTTTGATCAGGCCACAGAAGGGCAAACGAGACGAGACAAAGATAATGACTATAGTACTAGCCAGTCATCTTCGAGTGGCACACAGTGTGTCTTGCATGATCCTTCGGCGCTTGAATCGAATAGTGACGGATATGCCCTACCAGAGGCCAAATACCCGTCAGCAGAGACTGACAGTTCCTTTTCTCGGCCTTGTGAAAGGAGCTGTTTTGACCGATGCTTGAACCAGCATCTAGAAGGCCACAGCCAGTCCACGGTTTTCTCCCCCAGTGCCAATTTTGGTTGCATGACTGAACATGGGGAAGGCAACAGCAGTGATAGGCGCACGGTTTTGGGCGATTTTGTTTTCAGTTCACAGACACAAGATCCTGTGGAGTTGAATCAAGGCCGCATTAATCACGTTGCTAGGAACAGAGCTCAAGATCTTGTCTTTGGCCAAGAGCCATTCGAGGCCAAAATCTGGTATGCTCCCAGAAGTGAATGCAATGGAGAGGCTAGAGACATTGTTGTGGAACCCAATTACTTTGGCAATCTCCAGGAAGTAATGTGTCGAGCATGGTCTGATAGGATCAGGTCTGATCGCTGTTCTTATGCAATTGTGAGGCCACAGCCTTCCGAACACTACCATTTAGATATCTTGCATTTTTTGACGTTTGAAACAGATAGTTTTTCTGCTGTTCCCATACGCCAAACTACATCCAGTTCAGGAGAAGTAGCAAGGATGGACTTTTGTGCCTGTGCATTTTCCTTCAGGGACTATGCGCGTTTTCGATTCAACCTGGACCAAGGCCAACAATGTCTCAAAGGAGAACTTGTTACTTTTCATGACCAAAGAAGAGAAAGCATTTGTCAGAGGCTCTCAATCAGACGCAGTCTAAGAAGAGGAACTGCAGTAGTCCGGTATGGCGTTTCCGCCATAACAGGGAGAAATCATCTCTTGCAGACAGAGTGGAAGAGCCTTGGAGGCGAGCTGGATCCCATCGTTCTGATGGTTTTTCCTACTCCTGCCAAAGTCGTCATGCCGGTGGATCATCTTGTTATGATGCCGTATGGAGCTTATGATCAGGAGCAGCGTGTTTTCTTAATAGATGTCCTCAGTGGCCATGCTGAACGGCCTCTTATAGAACGCGTTGCAGTTCGCGGGACCAAGCTTACACCTAGGAAGATAGCAAGCCAACTCGGGTACCACTGTGACACTTGTAGTGTCCGACGTGGCCGATGTCAGACAGTCTTTCGTCAAGATCAGGAGATTCGATACTCCACTGGGTCTTATATCCTTCTAGATGTTACCAATGCCAAAGACAGTAAGGTGCACTGTGAGTCGAAACAACTTCAACGAGTCTCTCCAGTGCAGGACTTCGATATTGATGAGATGGGCCTTTTTCAGTTCGAGCCACCTCCAAGAATGAATGTTCACGGTGACAATGAGAGGTACTTTTGGGTAAGAAATACGGTGTTTTTCCTGCCCGCGGTCTCTCTTGCCCTGTTAGAAATTGGTCACCAGGCCACGGGACATTGGCCTCTTACTGTTGTGTATTTCCGAGATTTACCTCATGAGACTAGGACCTTTGGATTTCTTAGCCATGATTTGGTGAATCTGGATGAGTACAGGGTCCGATTTCGAGAGTTATACGCTGACCAATTCCGTACCGATGAAACGGTAAGTATCGGACTTGTGGATGTCAATCTCTGCCAGCATCAGAGAGTGCAGATGCATGAGTTAGAACTCATTGCCTTTCGGAACCGTGTTCCTTTCCACATGAGGCCTGTTTTGGTGTGCATCAGATTCTTCGATGGGAGAGCACCAATCACACCTAGAGCGGTCTTGTTCCCAAGGGCAATTACCAAACAAGATGTTATTGAGAGTGTCTTGTTTTCCAGGGAATGTGGACGTCAAGATGAGCAATGTCTCGCCTCAACAGCGTCGGGTATTACTATAGGACAAGCACCGATGCGAATTGATAGTTGGCAGAGAATCTTCCTTGATGTCTTCCCTGCTCAAGAAGGGGCGCTGGACTGCATAGAGTCTGGAGAAGGGGATTTTGCTAGCACATTAGGAACCCGGCATGTGCACCATGAATCCGAAGATGTCAATTTAATGCAAACCAGCATGGTCCCAAATTCCAGACCAGGCTACCTTGAGATGTATGCCTTTTCGATTGCAGACAGGTTTGTTGGTTCAGCACCCGAAGAGCAAGTATGGGTTAGCACATACTGCCACCTTTGGAGAGACCGTGATCATCCTGGTCGAAACCACAGGCCTATAGTCGTCACAAGGGGCCAAGCAGTCAGAGACGCCTTGATGCGGATATGGAGTCCACCGATAGAGAGGGACAATCTTGCCGTTACGCCAGTCAGACCAATGCCTGAAATAGGTGCAGGACTAAGGCCAGCGGTAATAGTTACCGATTATGAAGATGAACATACGATACCAATTCTATTTGACTACACAAGTGATGATCGCACGTTTATCGGCACTGGATTGATAGGATGTCATTTTGGGTTTCCGGAGGTCCATGATCTCTTCGACTTACTAATTCCGGGGAACTTGTGTCGAACAGTGACCTCCTGCTTAGTAAGAGCCCATGGGCGTCATTTCGTGCCTGGACAAACGGTCATGATCTTTGCAGGCCTTTTCGTCAAATTAGACGAACAGGACCTGGAGGAAACGAC